GAGTCGTGCTGCGGATGACTGCCAAATGTGTATCTCCTTGGACGTCTGGCTCGAAGGGAGAGGTGAAGTGAAGTGTGGACGGACTCGGCTTAAGAGGGGTGAGTGTGGGCCACTGTTTCTGTGATTCATGGACGGCACTTGGGAATTTGAATGCACGCGGTGTGGGCCCATCGAGGGTGATGTCAAGCATGGAATGATAGGTGGGGAAGGAGAGTGTGCATGGGGTCGGAGAGGGGATTGCACCTTGGGAGTGGTTGTACATGAACATTGTCGTGAGTGTGTGCTCGTCGATTGTTGCTTGCGCTGCAGAGTGGGAAGACATACGTGAATTACTGGAAGACGTTGTTCGGCATTGGTCAACAATGCGGCATGCACGAATGCAAATGCAAAAAGGAAGACAAAGGAGAAAAGGCAGACAACGAAGGAGAGACAGCGCAAGAATACAAGGGCAGCAGAGGGAGACAAGAAGTTGGGATGAGAGGGAAGAGCAACTATTGTGCAGGTTATTATGAAGGAAGTGGACTGGCTGCTTACGCTTTACGTTGAAGGACGGAGTAGTCAGCTGGGTGGCATCGACACAGGATCTGAGACTCAGCACAGGCATCGCAACGACAGATTGGAGAGGAAAGCACAGAGCCAGAGTGTGCTGGAGGACACTTGTGAGTGAGTCGACTGAACTAGAGAGTGGAGAGAACAAAAGCGACGACATAGTGGGGGTCGGCATTTCTAAGGTAAGACGCGGCCGTTCCCACGGTAGATGCCGTGATGGCGGCACGCAATTTGTATGTCGAGAGTTTTCTTGTGGTTTTATACATGTATCTCCTCCCTCAATACATTATAAAAAAATAAATAAAAATCTTTAAAATTAATAAAACATAAATATCTAAAAGTTTGTGTGAGGAAATTTAAATAACTAGAAAATTGAGTGAGATACTGTAGGTACAGCACATGTATCTCAGTAAATACTTAGAATTAAGGAAATTCCTCACACAAATCTTTAGATATTCATGTTTAAGGACTTATTATGCAAAAGAAATAATTTATTATTACAAATTACAAGAAGAGAGATAAATATACGATCTACTTCTAAAAAATAGAAAAAAACGCACACGTGACTGCATATAGCAAAACACGTCTCGACATCGGTATGATTTTCATGGGGAATGGGGGGGTGCTGTGTGGCCAGTACTCACTCAAAACAAGCTAGTACGGTACGAATCCATCAAAATTAATTCTCCTACATACTTACAATATATGTACAGGAGGAATTATGCCAAAACGGCTTTCCAGAGTCCTCAAAAGATGATACAAAGCTCTTCAGTTAGTATGGGGCATGAGCAACTTGACACAGTCAAGATACAGCTGGATCAAGACGTAGTAAACAGGATGAAAGCAACGGAACTCAAAGCACAACTAGACAAGCTTAGACAGACAGATACCCAGATACCTATAGACTCTAGGATAAGGACTAAGGCAGAAAAATTGAGGGAACTTCTAGCAGCATTAGACCAGATGGATACTAATCAATAAATTATACTGTAATTTACTTATTGCACTTCATTTCACTGATTTCTTTGTCTTCTTAATGTAATTCTCAAGTAATAAAGTGAAAACCAATGCTTAATTGATAAATCCAAGGCTTCAGCATTGTCTCTGAGTGGTTGTTGGTGATTAAGAGTGAGACACAACTATGTGTATACACTCAAATCCACTTCATTTCATTAGTTTTGCTTATATTTTTGTATATTCGTGTATGATAAACCTCTATGTACTACTCAGAATGTAATAACTAATTTTACAGGTTGCCAGAAGACCTCAGCCGAGAGGTATGACTTGGCAACAATTCGTGCACGCGCATTGAGTCTCAAAACGAACGTTCAACTCAAAATAAGCACTGCAGAAGTGCTCGGTGATCTTGATTAGTATCAGACAATTGATCTGTAATTTAAAATCAAGAAGATTTCTTTAGATCTTCTTGATTTGAATTTTTTCTTCTCTTCTCGAAACTGTCAACATGCGTTTTGATTGTATCTACTACATTTGGTAGGTATCTAAGCTCCGCCCCAAAAAAAGTTGCCCGCGCGTCATATGAGAAATGCCGACCCCCAGACATAGTGGCAGGGCAGAGAGATACGGGAGATGGGGGTCAGAGGCAAGGAGTGAAATGCGACGTGCGTCATAAATGTTTTAAGTACAAAATTTCATGTGATACTCGAGCATTACATAAGTTGAGTCGTATTTACTGATGGTTCCTTTATGAAAAATAATCATTATAATGATAATTAAGATATTTATTAAGCTTGTAATCTTACAAAAGACTCCTACTTATTATAAACATTTANAAAACTTTCATACAGATTATAAGTATAGAAAATGT